TACACTTATCGGGTATCCGATATATATATAAAATATTTTCTACACATATCGGGTACCCGATATATGCCCGATATTAGAGAAACACCATGTACATATTGGGTACCCGATATGTGTATGTTTTATCAATTTTCGACCAGTGATATACCGTGCTCGATATATAGGGATATACTATGGCCGATTTATAAAAGATATGTACCTGATAAAAAAAATAAATAAAATCAGGTGTCTGATATATAAATGATGAATTTGAATAAAATGTCAAAATATTAATATCCAATATGAAACTGATATAGACCTGATAAGTGCCCGAACTTCTGTATTTCAACCTCATCAATCAGGTGCCCAATATATTACATAATTGTTAATATTGGACACCTATCATATACCTATCAGGTTTCCGATAGGCATACGATAGGTGTCTGATATTTCCTATTTCAACCAGTGTAATTCTTTTGTATTTGACTAGTATTAACAATTAAACTATTGTTATTACATGAAATATATTATCAAGTACTTAGTAATTATTTTTTTTAAATATATAATTTGTGAAATGAAAGATAAAAAAAAATAAATAGAAAAGTAAATGTTATTATCACATTATTTGTTTATTATGTAATAAAGAAATCAATTTACTTTAATTTGTGACAGAAAATATAGTAGTGCACTTTGTTAGACAAACTATTTTTTTTATAAATAGAGAAGTAAAACAAAGTGGTAGGTCAAGATTGTGAGCACAACATGATACAGCAAGGCAAAGACAAGAGCTGATATAAAATACTTCCAAATTCATGAAGCCTTGCCTCTTATATTTACTTTTGCATTTAAAATAGAACTGATCTGATCTAAAAAGGCAATAATAAAAAAAGTAAAGGCAATAATAAAAAAAAAGGCAATAATAAAAAAGGTAAAAGGTAAGCTGCATCATACAAATTTGAAAGAGTAATTTTATAGTGCTAATTTTATTGACAACTATTTTTCAATCTCTTAATCTTTAAGTAAAAAGATTTAACACAAATTTTGCATATAGTTGTTATGTTTTATAATACTTTTTATGTAATAAAAGCTTAAATATATACTGTCAAATCTATCAAATATGCATTTCTACTACAACTTGTTCTATTTCTTTTCTTTAAAGCCTAATATACAGTCAAACCTGCATAAAAGCTATAAGCATACACATAACATAAAAAAATTCTAGATTATATAAATGTATATTGTGTATCGGTATATGCAAAATTTATATTGTCTGTTTATCCTCATCATCACATCGATCATTTTTTGTTCATCCATTTATTCGTTCATTCATCTATTCATTTATTCAAAACATTAGATTTAGATTAAATAATTTTAGTGATGATTTGTATAAATAATTTAAATTATTCATTTAAAAAATATTAATTTGATTTTGTTAATAAAAAAAGTTTTTTTTTTGTGACATCATTAATTTATATAAGCATAACCTGCCTATAAACATAGGATTTTTGCTGGCCCGACAGCATGCTTATGTACAGGTTTGACTGTATTTGCTTTTTTTTTGTTTTTGTTATATAAAGAATATTTATGTAATAGATTTGGTCAATTTTTTAATCAGCTGATACGCTATATATTATATTTTTAATTCTTTATACGTAACATAAATTAGATGAGTGATCTTTAAAAATATTATTAAGTGACTTTAATGAGAACATTTTGTTCATTGCCACCCTCAAGTTTAATGAAATCACTTCGAAAAAATTTAATTCAATTAATGATTCAACCCGTTGTTGATTGAGAATTTAAGTGGACTCCTCTCCCCTCAAAAAAAAAAAGAATTAAAAACGGATTATATTGAGGTACGTGCTTCAAATTGAAAAATTATTATCATTATAAATATAAATTTGATCGAAGATTCTCCCAAACAATTAACAATCAATAAATTGTTGAAATATCATATCAATAGATCAATTTGCCAAGAAATAAGAATGACATTTATTATGATTTATTATAAATTTATACTGTGCATATTGATATATAATATATATTTTCAATACATTTCAATGCTTAATTCTTTTCACAATGCAAGAATATCAATGTCAAAAGAGATAACTACTAAGAGACGTAATACAAAGAAAATGATTAAAAATTTAAATTTCAAACTTTTATAAGAACATTATTGAAAAGGGGTGAGAAGATTCCGATTAACGGTTCAATCAATTTTATGCAAATATAAAAGGTTATTCATTGTTTCTAGAAATGTGGATACGTTCATTGTTAGACCTCAAGGCTAACAAATAAAACTAGCAAAAGATCAACCAGATTTTTTTAAACAAGAAATTAAAATCATTAAACTATGTCTACTGCTAATATAAAATTGTATTGCATTGATTAATTATTAAAGTTCAAATTTATATTAGTTTTAATCCATTTCTTTCTACATTGTTCATTTCTTCCATAATTTGCAACTTTTACAAAATGATTAAAATAAAAATCTTAATTAACTTATTTTTCTTGGAATGTTTTATCTCTGTCTATATAATTTAATCGAATATCTAGAACCTACTTAAAATTATTTATTTTTAAAATTATATATTACATACTATTTGTTCTTTTCTCAATAAAAAAATAGTGATAAAATTTGAAAAGATAGTATTAACAAAAAATTATTATTGTCTTTAAACAATTCATGTGTAAATTTAATGCAAATCCAACAAATCTGATAATCTGAAATATTTGATGACAATATGAACGAGACTAGATTATTATTCAAGATAATATATACATATATATGAAATATTTACCATATAATAATATAATAGTCAATACTTGTCAGATAAGAACGCTTAACGAATAATACATGTCTAATTTCCCCCACTTTTTATTTCACTTTATTAAATTTCTAGAAAAAACTAATTCCATTTACACCTTTTTAAGTATTCCATATGTATATCATGTGAAGCAGAACGCGTTCTACGTCAATTTATAGAAATCAATTTTAATTACTATTTATGGGATAGTCAGACGGTAATCGTTGAGTACGTAATTTGATCCATATTACCCGTTTTTGACATATAACCAAGATTCCATTAAGAACATCCAACTTGGTAATGTTTATGTCAACAAAAAAATATATTATTAAGAAATATTATTGTTGTTTTAGAATAATAATAATACCTTATTTGTATAAATTTTGAAATTCCGTTATTATTTTATTATAAACCGAAGGAAATAAACAATTAATCCAAATTCCTTTAATAATTAATTATATCTCAATTACATTTAATACCCATTTTTAATTATTTTCAATTAATTGAATTGTTTTTGTGACGATCTACGTACATATGTTTGTTCTTTTTATTATTTATCATTTTAACATTCTATGCCATTTCAGCATATTATCTACTTATTATTATTTTTTTTTACTTTGTCTTTTAATTTAAATAATAATAGATATATGATAAAAATGTAATATATAAATGCCATGTACAAGTATTTTTCATCCTGAATTATAATCATAATGATCTAATAATGGAAAATAATGAATTCACGATATGATATTTATATTTGTGTTAAAAGAAGTAACCTTTTCTGGTAATCGATCCATAAATTCGTAAACTAAACCTTTTGCACAGTAATTATTTACTATAGGCTACTCCTTATTATTATTATTATTATTATTATTATTGTTATTATTATTGTTATCCATATTCACATTATTCACATCAGTGTGTCAATCATATCTTTTAAAGATTATAGTATTCCGAAATTCTATCGGTACATGTGGTGGTTTATTCCAAGGAACTGATGAAATGACCAGATCAGAAAAAAAAGGGAAAAAAAATCCGGAATAATAATACAAATTAAATTGTAAATAATTAATGACAAGTTCCTTGTTTTTTTTTTCAGATTTATAGATAACAAAAAATGTTTTTTAACAAAGATATGTTTACTTTGATACATATGATTGTAAATTACAACAATATTAGATATTATAAAATCGTTAATTTAACAGTAACAAACAATTATAACAATTATCGTTGGCAAATTATTTCATTCTTTATTTGTTTTGTATAGGGAGATTGTGTAAAAAACAAGATAATTCATTTTTGAATTCATCAACCGAATATTTACTTTTATTAAACTTTATCACATGCTTTTTAATAACTTTGTCACATACTTTTTAATAACTTTATCACATGCTTTTTAATAACTTGATCACATATTTTTTAATAACTTTATCACTATAGCTTAATTATCCAATCCCGTATATTTATAAACACTTTAAATAATAGAGAAGATTATTATTTGTCACGCTTGACGAAATTTAAGCATAATTTCTTAACTCACGATAATAAAGTTTTAATCATCATCTTTAATTTCCACCAAGTTAATTTTACTTAGAAAAAATAGAGTTGCATTTGAAAACGATACCCTTTTTTTCAAATAAATCCAAATTTTAAAAAATAACAAATAAAATTAAAATAAATATTATTCTCAGTATAACATATTCTCCTCTTAAAAATTTTATGAAACATTGTACTGAACACCTCACCTTAATAAATGTTGATCTGCTTTTTTTAATTAAAATTTTAAAACAAGAAATTGCCTAAAAAGTATATATTGTTACACCTATTACTTTCCGAAACAAGCAAATTCCCAATATCACTTTGTTATCTGTCACTTTTCAAAATCCTATTTATATTCTTGAATGTTTCTTTTTACACGCAGTGCCTATTAACAATTATCATTGACGTATATTACCTTTTGAAGTTACAAAAAAAAAAAAGTTGCGCGTATAATTATCTAAACAAGATACAGTTGTAATTGTAAAATAACAATAAATCATAAATCATAAATCATAAAGTAAATGTTTAAAACAATCAAAAATATATTCAATATAACTTTAACCAATAATAAAAAAAATACAGTTTTTTATTTGTTATCACAAATTGGATAATGTTCGAACAATACCACAAAATAACTGATTTATAATAAAAGAATTTATTATAACAGAATTTATAATAAATTGTATATTTATTATTAATATATTCAATATATTTTCAATAATCTTCAATAATAATAATAATAATAATAATAATAATAATAATAATAATAATAATAATAATAATAATAATGATAATAATATAATTCTTTAAATAAAAACCCCTCGAATATTTATAACGTTAACATTAGCGCTCAATCAAACTAACTAAGTTTAGATATACTTGCAATAGTAAATAGTCTGGGGGAATGCCGATTGCTTTGTTTAGATTAATTCATGCTTTTGTTAGGATACCCAAATCAGAAAAAAAAAAGATAAAAATAAAATAATAAATTACTTTATAAAATATAGGACTAATTATTACTTTCGGTCTCAAGCTAAAATATATAAATAGATCTCCAGATTCCCTTTATCAATTCTTGACAACCTTTGATCCATCGAAAAAAAAAAATATTCATAGTTTTGTTTCTTTTTTTTTTTATATTCAATTTATTTTATCTTTTTCGAATAAAATTTATTATTTTTTTTTTTCAACATACCAAATTATTATACTTTCTTTTTCTTGCAAAGAAAATATTATAACTTTTTCTTGAATGCTAATTACGACATATTAAACAATTATAACAATATAGCAATAAATATGCCAAAAATTCAAAATAGTCGCCCAAATTTAGATCCTAGACGATTTTATCATCAGCAACGCCCTTCATCTAACAACACTTCTCATGATTCTCATTCATCTCCATATTCTCATTCTCACTCTCACTCTAATTCCACTACTACTTCTGGCTCTGACAATTTCAATACTTTTAGTTACATTTCATCCCCCGCTACCACCAATAATATTGATACTGCTACTTCAACACCAAAACTTCCTGATCCAAAAATTATTGAACAAGTCATTTCAGAAATTGATCTTCGCACTCGTTCAGAAATCGATCGTCAAATCACTGTGCCTATCGAAAATTTAATTCGTCCAACCACAAAATCTCGTAAAGGTGGTATTCCTCGTCCTCAAAATCCCTTTGTTATTTATCGTCGAGATTTACAAGCAAAATTGACTGCAAGACTTGGTCCTGATGTTGGTTCTCATCTTCCATTCGTCTCTAAAGAAGCATCAAGAAAGTGGGAAATTGAACGAGAAGATATAAAAAATATTTATGAGGTTATGGCGGAACTTGCTAAAAAAGTTCATGAGAGAACATATCCCGATTATGTTTATAAACCTAGAAAACGTGCATTAAAGGCAACTTTAAATAGATCGATTTTTGATCATGAAATATATTTGATGAATCAAAATAATAACAACGATAATAATATTGTTGAAAATAATTATATCCATTCCCTTAATACATATAACCAACTTATGCGTTCTTCTCAAACTTCTTTTCAATCCTTACCATCATATCACAACAAATCTAATAATTTTATTAATGACCGATATAAAAGAAATCAACTACAATCTTCGCAATATAATCTATCCAATAATCATTCTTCTTATCCTTTTTCTTCCTCAACTAATACTACTGCACCTACTACATCTTCTATGTTTCGCCCTGTGAACAATTCTAATGTTTCAATTGTTGTTGATCCACTACAAAATGTTCAACAATCAAATCTCTTAAGAGATGAATTTAACCAACAACATCAATCAGCCTGGCCATCGCCAAAAAATAATTCTTCTTCAAATTACTATAAACCACAAAATGAAGCGCAAAACGAATTTCGTGTAGTAGAAATTACTTGTGATATGCAAATTCGTCATTCCTACAATTCTTTACAAAACGGTTCACAAAATGCTCATAATACTTTCAATAATGTTTCTTCTAATAATACTTATGATCAACTTCTTAATTCATCCAACACCAATCCTCATAATAATAAATCCATAACACAATTATCTATAAACAATCAATCAATTACACCTTCTCTTAATTCATGCTCATTATCTCGTTCAACATCTTTTGATTCTTCAACTTCTAATCCTTCATCAACATGTGATAATGAATTATCCAAAGATGATTCTAAAAATAATGATTCCGGAATAAATATTAATAAACACGAAAATGATTCTATCTTATTAACTCCATCCAAAACAAGATCATCTTCATTAAGCAGTTTACCTAATTCTCAAATTTTCCCATTTATAAAAAGAAATTGTAGTGCAATGTTACCACCATTAAATAGATTTTTATCAACTTCAAATGACAATTATGATCGTAAGATGTGTAGGTCTTTCGATAAAATATTTTAACTTTAAATTATTATTTTATTTTTTTTATTGTTATTATCATTATCATTATTATCATTATTATCATTATTATCATTATTATCATTATTATCATTATTATCATTATTATCATTATTATCATTATCTTATTATTATTATTAAATAATATATTATATGCTTTTAATTTCAAGAATTGTTATGTTTATTCTATGATATTTTTTTTATGAATTTCTATTTCTTTTCAATCATTTATATTCTTACTGTTATATTAATAAATAGTAATATATTTATTTGTATCTTATGTTTATAAGGACATGTAAAAATAGGGCTAGAAATTTTACAAAATATTTTATTTTTAAAGAATATTTTATTTTCTAACATGGCTTAATTTTTATTTTGTATCAAGTATTTTTAATTTTATTTAATTTAAATTCATGATTACGTACCTGTTGAGAAAAATACTATTTTTGAATTAAAAGAAGAAAAAATTGACAGTATATGTAATTAAAAAATCGTTCATCTTTCAATCCATTTGTAATCCGGCTTAGCAAAATGTAATTTAATACCTTCTGAACAATTTTAATTAGCCACTTAAAGAGTTTACTTTGATTAATGCATTGAAATTATGTCACAAAGTTTAGAAAGTGAAATGGAAGTGTAAAAAAATTTGTGAATATTTGTAATTAAAGAAAAGTTAATTTTTTAATACACATATAAGTTAACTTAACAAAAACAAAGATTCAAGTAATTTATATCTTCCGAATGATTTTGATTAGTACTTAAAGGTAGTTTACTTTGACCAATATGTTTAAATTATATTATAAATTTCTAGAAGTATTAAAAAATTTGTGAATATATGTACAAAAAATTTATAAATATTTTGATACATTTATAAGGTAGCTTAGCAAAAGCAATTTACTTTGGTTAATGTGTTGAAATTATATTACAAAGTTCTAAAGTGAAACAGAAGTGTAAAAAATTTATAAGTATTTATAATTAAAGAAAAATTAATTTTAAAAGTTAACTCAGCAAAAATCAAAATTGGAATAATTTCATATTTTCTAAACAATTTTGATTAGAAGTGTGTAAAAAAATTTATAAGAATATGCAATTAAAGATTTGTAAATATTTTGATACATTTATAAGTCAGCTTAACAAAAATCAGAATTCAAGTAATTTAACACCTTCTAAATAATTTTAATTAGTCAGTTAAAAGTAGTTTACTTTGATTAATGTGTTGAAATTATATCACAAAGTTCTAGATATGAAATAAAACTATAGAAAATTTGTAATTAAAGAAAAATTCATCTTTTAATTCATTTATAACTTAGTTTAACAAAAATTAAGATTTAAGTAGTTAATTTCCAAATCAAATTGATTAGAATTTCATATAAAATTTAATATATAGGTTATAATCCATTATGTTTTTTTAATAGTATGCAGTTATATGTGAGTTAACAAGTTAACTCATTTGGAACTCTAGTAACATGAAGTAATTTTCTACTAACACATGTCAAAATTTGATAAAATTTTTGGTACAAATTAGTTTTGCCTATTTGTGTATTATTCATAAATCGATTTGTCTATTTTGTATATCCACAAATCATCTTGCTTATTTGTGTATCATCTAAAATTTTCCTGCCTATTTGTATATCATCTACAAATTTTTCCATCTATTTATGTATCTTTTTGTCTATTTGTGACAAAAATTTTGTCTGTTTTTCTTTATTTGACCAGTGCAATATATTTTAAGATGTGTCTTTCTTTATAGCATTGATATTCATTAAAATATGATGGTTTAAATTATATCTGCATACAAAATAACTTATTATCATAAGTCAAAATATTTTAGAATTCAAAAGTCAAACCAGTTTTTTATAGAAAATAAAATTATTTTACTTAAAACCTGAAATTTTTTGATTACTCAGATAAATTTTTTGATTTAAATACATAAATAGGTATTTTTTATTTATTTCCATATATAAAATAGATATCTCAAAAATCCCAAAAAGATAAAATATCTCAAAAATCAGAAACCAATTTTGGAAACATATATAGTTTAAATTTTACATATTTATAAAATATTTCAGAAATTAATTTCTGAAACTTTAGATTCCATACTTAAGGATGGTCAGCTTAATTAATATTAAATTTGTCTCAATAATTGCTTCTTTGACTAATTGATTTTCTCCTAGCTAAATTCTGATTAAATGGCTAAATTTTGGCTTGAAAGCTAAATTCTGGCTAAATTCTGGTGCAACTCTAATCACATGAAAAGATCATTATTATAATTGAATAATTATTTAAATTATCAATATTGATATTTTTAATAAATTATCATCAAACACTAATAACTTTATAAATATTAGTGCTATAAAAATGAAACATATATTACTGTATAGAAAAGAACTAGGGCTTTCAATCAATCATAAAAATATCATAGTAGAAAATCACTTCAAATCATATAAAATCAATTTGAATTGAAAATAAAAATAATTATTTTAAATATTAAGATTTTTACAAATATTAATATTAGAAAAATAATTTAATTATTATTTTGAAGCTTTTAATAAGAGCTTTCAAATGATTTTAGAATTTATATTTAATAATAATTATTCAATAAATTTTATAATTGCACCATCCAATTAAAATTGCACTATTATTTAACCTTTACATTAGAATTTAGCTTTTGTGTCAGAATTTAGCCATTATGTCAAATTGTATCAGGGCTAATTCCTGGGCTCAATTGACTAAATTAAATCTGGTTAAATTTCTGGCTCAATTCATATTGCACCTACCATCTATATTTATACTTTTAATTATGATTGAAAAATTTATACAAAATCTTAAAGATACAATGTATAAATTACATATGTTTCCAAAATAAAACATGTATTTTACTTTTTAAGATTTTTAAGATTATCTATTTTATATATGGAGATAAAAAAGTATCCAATTTAATGTACCTTTAATCAAAAAATTTATCTAAGTGATCAAAAAATTTGAAATTTAAGTAAAATAATTTTGACTTCTACTGTATGATATTATTTCATCTTCCATTTTATTTTGTTTCTCAAAACTATATGAAATTTAATTTTGGATACAAGTATAATATGAGTGTATATAGAAAAGGTTTAACAGGTAAATTAGATAAATTGACAAAATTTATAGTATTTTTTAAGTAAGTTATTTGAGTATTTTTTTGAAAAATCAATTCTTTAAAAAATTTTAAAACTGTATATTTTTATAATACTTTTGTATCCAAAAGATGTAAACTAGATTATAGTTTTATTAAATAACTTAATCCCAATTTTCTATATGTAAACAGTAACATTCTTAGGTGAATTGACAATTAAATAAAATAAATTTAATAAAATATAACATTTTTTCATTTTTATATATTTCCCAATTTTATTTTATATATTTTATATATGAAATATACCTGACTTTAAATGTTAATAGTTTGGTCAAAATGAATTTTATAAATTTAAACCAATAATTCTGAAAGAAACAAGTCAATATCTATTATATTATTGGATAAAATTTCTATTTAAGTCGGTATCACATGTCTTAATCTTTTAAAGTTGACTTTATTTTAATGTTAATTTTTTGGTTATAGACTGGATGCACTGTAGTATTTCTTGTGAAAAGGATGCATATAAAAAAGGCTATTAGAACACATGGAAACATTTCTGAAATAGTTGAATTTGAAATTTTTAAAGTTCAAAAAATCCAAGAATTTTTTGGAAATTATTTTTTGAACAAGTATATTTATTAGAGGAAGCCCAAATATTTATTAAACATCCATAATAGTAAGTAGGGTTGTTAACCGGAGCATAATGTTCTGGCATCAACCTGGCAGAATTACGAAAATTTATGGAAAATTTACGCCGAATTTTTCACGGACGTTAAGATTTAAACGTGAATATCTCCGCGGATATCGATGCTACAGGAATAATTTACATATCATCTTGTAGCCAAGAACCTGGGCTTTCGATCTGTCATAGAAATACCTTAGTAGAAAATCGCTTCCTGTCTCGTAAATTGCGACCAAAGTCAAAAAAATTGAATTTTTGGGCGTAAATTTACGTGGGTCCCGTCTGTGTTACGGAAATTTACGCCCCGAAAAATTTTCTGATGAATCTATAGCTCATTCGATTCCTTTCATCAAGATGAACATTTGATAATTGTTTTATTAAAATTAGACATATATGTCAAGTTATTAACTAAAACAATTTATTTATTTTTGATTAAAATTAAGAAATGTTTTATAAAAATAATTATAGACTTGTAAAATAATTGTGAACTTGCAAAACAATTGAGGACTTGTGAAACAATTGATAATTGCAAATTGTGAAAATTGCAGATTTTTTACTATTGAAATCCTTAATAATTGTGATATAGGTAGTAATATTATAATCTTTAATTTATAATTATAGATATCATTTTTAATAACAATTCTTATTCATTTATGAAAAATCAAAATTATAAATTTGATATCAAAAACATTTCAAAACTTAAGGATTAAAATATATATAGTAATCATTATTTTAAATCTATTATTTAAGAACTAAAATTTTTTAAAAACAAAAATTCAAGTATTACAATACTTTTGTAAATCACTGTATAACAGATAAAGTTAGAAAATATGTAATAATTGGTTATTTCTTATATTTATGAGAAAATACACTTTAAATTAAACAAGATACTTGGTAATATTATAAATTAAATCTGTACTGATATACTATTTACAATATTTGAATTATCTATTTATTAACTAAAACTCTTATTAAGAATTTAAAAATTTGCAAAAGAAAAAATAAAAGAATATACTATAGAATTTGAATTGTATTGTTTTTTGCATTAGTAATTATATGTGAACTTTCAAATCAGAAATAAATTAGTTTGAAAATTTTTATAACCAAGTTTATAATTAAGACATTCAATAAAGTTATTTTTAAATAATGTCATATTTTCAATATTAATAATTGTTATTGTTATATTTATCTTGTTCATAATTATTATAATATTCTCCAATACAATTTTAGTAATTCCTAATGATTACTTTAATTGATTTAAGAATATTAGGATCATATAATACATTTTTTCTTGTTTTTTCTCATTTTTCAATAAAAATTAATTATACTATTATATGTAAAGTAATATTAAAATCAAAAAAAAAAAAAACTAAAAATAATTAAATATGTATAAGCTGCAAATTTATTTGTAATAATATCAATATTAACTGTAATAGAATTTTAATATTTGAATATTAAGATACTATTATAGTTAATTTAAATTTATTCTGGAAAGAGAGAAGATTTAAGTAAATATTGTAAATTTATTATTTTTTTTTTGAAAAAAAAAAGTAAAACAAAATTTTTTAAACCAAAGTCCAAATGATTAAGTGATTTTTAAATAAAACAATTAATTTGAACATATTTGACAATTCAAATTCCAAATTATTTTGAATGGTATGCATATGTATACCTGTTATTCTATAAGTATAGTTGAATTTTCCACTGAGTTCTTTATATTCTTTTTTAAATAAGAGTATTTAATATTAAATAAATATGATTTAACAAAATAATATACCATATAATGGAAGAACATGATTTTTAAAATATCCTTCAGCTTCTTCCCTACTCAAATCTCCAACAACATAAGGAGTTGCATGTAGAATATGTAAAACTATTGAAATAAATGTAGATTAGAGAATAATAGGTGTTATAAATATAATTACAAAATGGAGTTGCCAGTTGTGATCCAGTTAAGAAAAAATGAATCAGAAGAGGTAAGCATTATATGAAAGTTGCTTTTTTCTTTTGTTTTCAAACAAACCAGTTTAGAATGAATTGAGAAGGAATGCTCTCTCCTTGAACTCTCACTAAACATATTTGCTTCATCAATGATTAAAATAGATGGAGATATATTTATCCACTCCAAAAACTCCAATTTGGAAGAGCACAAGAAATACCATCAAGCAATTCATTAACTGCATTGACTGCATTAGAATTCTCATCTAATAAGTTAAATTTCAATCTATCATCAATTATTACTTCTGGATTTGATATTATTTTTTTTCAAATTTTCCTTTGTTTCTCGAAGAATGATTTAAATTGCAATCGAATCATGTACTCTCTTTGACATTTCAAATTGCTCACGACGGTAGTTTATAAAAGTGGGTTGAAATTCCCTTTACTTATTATCTCACAGATCAAGGTAGTTTTTCAGTATTAGGAGACCCTGAAGAATTTGGCTCAAACGGAATGCATCAGCGAATTACTCAAGATATTATTAACTTTTGTATTATAACGAACAACATAGCCGTTACTCGGTGTATTGGCAAACAATGAAAGATTTGAAAAATGAACATAATTTGAGAGATAAATATTGGGAAAAAAATCGATTTAATAATAAATATAAGTAATAATTATTATCTGGACTTAAAATGGTTTCAATTCCTCAGTCGGGTTTCTCTATAATTACACTTATTATAATCACATCTTTAAAGGCCAATACATAGTAAAGCTATATAAAAGAACTCTATTTAATTACAATTTTCTATAATTCTGTAAATGTGAGACCTTACATATAAACTCTGTGATATTTTAATAAATTCACGTGATTATTTATTAGTTTTAATAAATCGTGTTTCACGAAGAAACTTGTCAATGGACCAACTTGAACTTATTCGCGACCCTCGACCAATATCTAGTGTTCATAGCGGTAGACGTCACTCGACAAGCTCCGACGAAGATACATACCTCCCAACAATTCATTCTCGTAGAAAAAGTTCGCTGGCTTTAGAAAAGGCGGAGGGTGGTTTTAAGGGTGCCGCTTCGTTAGAAAGAAAGGCTACCTTTAGACTGACCCTTGCTAATAAGCCAAGAAACCGAATGTGGCTTCGCTCTATCGCATTTTTATTGACAATTTTTGGGTTAATTTATTTCTTTCTTCAGGAGGATAAATTCAATTTCAATCTTGAATCTGATGGTAATTTAGTTATTATTAAACTAAACATTTTTAAATATCTATATATTAATATTTATTTATTTATTTTATTGATTTTTTTATATATCGTATAAATTTTATTTAATATTTTACATAAAAAAAAAACTTAAATTCACAGTAACAGAAGCAATAAATGAAAAGGTACAAGATACTTCAAACATACCTATTTTAGAAGATGAACCTTCAACTCAAGATATTGATAACTCAAAAATTTCTACTAAGCTTAAATCTATACATTGTACTGTTTCGCATCCGGGACGTCCATTAATTCAATATACATTAATGATTGATGCCGGATCAACGGGATCTCGTATTCATGTATATCGATTTAATTATTGTAAAGAATCTCCTGAATTAGAGGATGAAATTTTTAATTATACTTTACCAGGACTTTCTGCTTATCCAAATGATCCTTTAGCTGCTGCAAAAAGTTTGGATGGTTTGTTAGATGTAGCATTAAAAAATGTTCCCCCAGAATTATATCATTGTACACCAGTAGCTGTTAAAGCAACGGCTGGATTACGTATGTTAGGTCCATCAAAAAGTGGACGGATATTAGAAGCTGTGGAAAATCATTTGAAAAAAAATTATCCATTTCCTATAGTACCAAAAGATGGTGTTGTGATTATGGATGGTAAAGATGAAGGTTAGTTTTATTATTATAATTTTTCTTTAATGTTTATTTCTTTTAAATGTTATATTTTTAATGTTATCTCTAATGAATTATATATATATTTATTTATTATCATTTTTCACAGGAGTCTATGCTTGGATCACTGTAAATTATTTGTTAGAAAGAATTGGAAAATCTAAAAAATTATCTACGGCTGCCATATTTGATTTAGGTGGTGGTTCGACTCAAATTGTTTTTGAACCAGAAATGGATGATGGTACAGTACTTGAAACCGGAGATCATCGATATGAATTATCATTTGGTGGACATGTATATGAACTCTATCAACATTCATATTTACATTATGGACTTATGGAAGCAAGAAAATCAATTAAAAATTTTATTGCAGATTTATGGCTTAGTGCTTCCGATGATGATAAATCTGGGATATATGAAATGATAGGATCTGATTTAAATATTAAAGGAGATTATATCCCTCATCCTTGTTTACCAAAAAATCATTTAGAAAAATTGTCTTTCGATTATAATATAACATTAATTGGTACCGGTGCGGGACATGCTCAATGTCGATTCGTCGCGGAACAAGTACTTAACAAAGATAAAACATGCCTACTTTCACCATGTGCATTTGATGGAATATATCAACCTCCACTGAAAGATACATTTTCAGTACAAGACATATATGCATTTTCGTATTTTTATGATAGAATTTATCCATTAGGAATGCCATCAGAATTTTCGCTTAAAGAACTTCGGGATTTAACTGATTCGATATGTTCAGGAAATATAGAACAATTTTCACATTTACCTGAAGCGATGAAAGAAATTCGAAAGAATCCTTATTATTGTATGGATTTAACATTTATTTATGGATTATTACATATTGGATATGAAATTCCATTAGAAAGAGAATTAAAAATTGCAAAAAAAATAAATGACATTGAGACAGGATGGTGCCTTGGTGCCGCAATCGCAGTTATGGATCAAAATGCATGGTGTAAATCAACATCAACATAGAAATTAATTTGACATTATTAAATTTATAATTTTATAAAGCATTTATTATTATACATTTAAATATATTATATTTATTATTTTGGGTAAGAATTTTTTATTGTGAAATTTTATTTACTGCATATTCATCCAATAATTATTTATAATTAAATTATTATAATTATAATTATTAATTTATAATTGGGATCTTTGACCAGATTCCTTAAAAAAAAATAATGAACAATGATATTTTGACTCATAATCTGCTTGTAGAATTATTATTATTATTGTTGTGAAGTTTTAATATAGATTTTTAATAAATCACTTAATTATTTGGATTTTGGTTTAAAAAATTTTTTTTTTCCTTTTATTTTTTATTTTTATTTTTTGCTTTTTTGTCTTCAAAAAAATAATAAATTTCCATTCTGGAATCTAAATCTAGATAATAAAGCATACAAACAGATCTGCATTATGAAACCTTTTCGTAGAATGCAGTGTAAGCATCACATGTACTATGTAATAAATAAGCACAAATCAAAAATTAACAACACTACTATATTCAAATATAAAAAATATAAAGTATACATTAAGAGTCGGAAATCAAGAAAATTTATTATTTTTCGTTATCACTTTATCACTTTCATTATTTTTCTATAAATCATGGAATTTGGACTGCTGCTCGCATACCTTGCCTTAGGTACTATGGCAGTAACTCCAATTTATTATGGATCATTTGCTTCTGTCAAATGGCCAAAGGTACGATAAATTTATATATTTTTTTCGTAACTTCTGAAAATAGTTTATTTCAAGGACCTTTGTATCAACTTACATTTTATTTTATCTTAATTCTATTATTATCTTTAATTATTATTATTTATCATATACTTTGAAAAAAAAACAAAAGTCTAAGCAAAAAAACAAAAAACAAAATCTTGATGCTGATTCTTCTTCAGAAGAAGAGGATTCTACAAATGAACCTTTAACACTTCGAGACGCTTACCTATTCCCTATCATTGGTTCCTTCGTCCTTTTTTCATTGTATGTAGTTTTCAAGTTTTTGGACGTCTATTATGTAAATTATCTTGTTACTGCATATTTTGGATTTTTGGGAACAGGAGCCGTAACCATTGTTGGAGTTCTTATTATTAAGAATACAATTGGGATCAAATATCATACTTATAAAATTGGATTGTCGAAAAAAGCAAAAGGTATCATTTTATTGATTGATTGATCTGTTGTTTATTCATGATTTTTATTTTATTTTATTTTATTTTATTTTATTTTATTTTATTTTATTTTATTGATTGCTTTATTGATTATTGATTGATTATTGATTGATTATTTGACTTATTGATTTTTTTTTTTTTTTTTTTTTTGATTCAATAGAAATTTATAGTGTCAATTTCACTGCAATACATATCGCGGCGTTTTTCTTTTCACTTTTCCTTACTATGTTTTATGTTGCAACTAAAAATTGGATTGCATCAAATATTTTCGGTTTGGCCTTTGCTTTTAATGCAATTCAGATCTTAACTTTGGATTCCTTCCAAACTGGTATAACTCTTCTTAGTGGATTATTTTTTTATGATATATTTTGGGTATTTGGTACAGAAGTGATGGTAACAGTGGCAAAAAGTTTTGATGCTCCAATAAAAGTGGTTTGGCCGAAACAATTTTTCGGATTACAACCAGAAGAAGTTTTACAATTCACAATGTTAGGATTAGGTGATATCGTAGTACCCGGTAAATTCACTTTTTTTTTTTTTTTAATAGCCGTGATTTTAAAATATTACATAGAAATATATATCCTAACAATTTTTATATCTTAGGTATATATGTCGCACTCTGCCTTCGCTTTGATCATAGCAATTATTTAAAAAAGAATCCTAATGCAAAACGATATTCAAACTTTCCAACTCCTTATTTTAATACATGCATTACTGCATATATATTGGGTCTTGTTACAACCATAGTTGTGATGCATACTTTCAAAGCCGCTCAACCAGCATTACTTTACCTTTCACCTGCATGCATATTTTCTGTACTTACCACGGGTTTATTTAAAAATCAATTGAAAGAAGTTTTTAATTATTCGGCTGAAGAAAAAGATGAAGATAAAAATAAAAAAGATAAAAAAGATAAAAAAGATGCAAAGAAGAAAAAAGATGATAAAGGTTCAAGTGAAAGTGAAGGTGATGAAGGACCAGTTATACAACGTAATATTAAAGCTGATGATAAAACTAGTGATATTTCAGGGACAAGTGTAGATGATGAAGATTATGTTGAAATATCAGCTACCGCAGCACCAACGAAAAATAAAAAAAATAAGAAAAAATATTCGAAAAAGAAGTCTAACTAGATTTTAAAATATAGAATTAATGTATTAAATGTGTTTCATGTTTCATTGATTTTTTACGCTTTAATTTGATTTTTGCGTTATAATATAGAATGGGACACTAATATACAATTATACAATTTATTAATATTTATAATATTTTATAATATTTATAATATTTTTTATAATATTTTTTATAATATTTTATAATATTTTATAATATTTTAGAATATTTTATAATGTTTTATAATGTTTTTTACAATAATTTTTTAATAATATTTTTTTTTTATAATACTTTATAATATTTTTTTTTTGTGTAATTAAAAGAGAGAAATTTTAAATTATTTATCAATTTAATCATTTATAGTTTATTTTCTCGTATTATGGGGATTGAAAATTGGTTGAGATAATTGAGAAATTTACAATAATTTAAAATAAAGAAATAAATAAAATAAGGAATGAATAATATTTTTTTTTATAATATTTATAATATTTTTTCATAATATTTTCATTAAAAGTTGACTTAAATTATTGATTTAATTCGAGTGTAAAATTTGTGTAAAGTTACATATTAAATCATGAATAAATAATAATAATGATAATAATAATAATATTAATAAGTTAAGAAAGATTTAATTCATTAAATATTTTTAAATATTTAAACGTAATAATTATTAAATTTAAATTTTGAAAATATATTATTGTATATATAAATACTATAAAGTCTAATATAATAATATTTACCACGGAAAAATTTCCTCCCAAAAAATATAAAGAATAATAATGATAACGTATTAATGATGATAATAATAATAATAAACAAAAAAATAATATTAATTTCTAACAAACATGATATACATAGTAAATATTAAATAAAATAAAAATAAAATATTATTCCAAAAATTTTTTTTTTTTGATATTCTATTAATTAGAAGATTCCTGTGCTTGTGCTAATCGGGCTTCTAAATTTCTCAAGGCTTCTTCTTTGGCTAAAAGTTCTTGTCTCTTTTCAGTAATTTCACGTTGGACCTTTAATTCAATTTCTCTCAACTATTAAATTTATTAAATTAAAATAAAAATATAATTAATTATTTTAATAATAACAATTTTAAAATAAATAAAATATATAATTAAATCATTTAATATAAATATGATAACAATTGAAAATTATTTACCTTCTCTTCTTCTCGTTTTAATTGTTCTTCCTTCAACCTCACACTCTGGGTAGCAAGATCTTCCGGTAAGATTGCAGAGTCCCTAATAAAATTTCATAAGATATATTTGAATACCATATAATGTTTTTATGATAATTTATTATTTATAAATTGTTATAAATCTATAAATATTGAAGTTTTACTTACTCTACAGTTGGACTATCTGCACTACTTCGACTAAGTTTCTCAGTACGATAATTCTCGTATAAAAAGTCATGAGTGATTTCTTTCAGATCTTGTAAATGAGAACTATAATAAAAATAAATAATAAATAAATAAATAAATAAATCAATCAATCAATCAATAAATAAATAAATAAATAAATCAATAAATAAATCAATAAATAGATTAATAAATAAATGAATTAAATAAATTAAAGGTGAAATATAAGAATTGAAAAGTTACCTCAATAAAGCTGATCGTAATCTAGCAAAATCTGAATGTTGGTGATTATCGACTAAATGAAATATAAAAATAATAATGTTATCGTTAACTTAATTAAAATTAATATCAATTAAAACTCAATTAAAAATAAAATTAATTAAAATACCTTCGACTACTCCCCATGGGTATTGTCGACCACGAATAGTTCTACCATTCACCGGGAGTTCTTCTTCACTACCAACAATAGCGAAAGGTAGAAGGGCCTAAAATTATGATATATAATATATTTATAAAGTATTAGATTTATATTTGAATAAAATATTTAAAATTATATAAAGTAGTATTTAATAAACATTTAAAACAAACCCTCAATTCGCTATTTTCTTCAACTGTTTCTTCGTCATCCTCTTCTACGTCAAATGGGAAATTATAAATTGGAATATTATAATGATCGATATCTTCCATAATCTATAATAATAATAATAATAATAATAATAATAATAAATAATAAATAATAATAATAAATAATAATAATTATTATTATTATTAAAGTAATAATTACAATTAAATACGATAAATATTCAAGAATTTATTAAATTAATATGAATAATTTGAATAACTTACTCTTCTTTTGAAATCTGTCAATTCAGTGGGTGTGCAAGTATCAGCTTTACCAATAACTGGAATAACATTAACCCGTGGACTGAGTCGTTTCATTAATTCAATATCAATTTCGCGAAGACTGAAATATTTGAACAAATTGAATTTATTTATTAATTTTGTAATGATTTTGTACTAAATTAAAAAAAAATTAACCCACACTAATTAAAATAAAATCTTAAATGTATAAATAGAAAATATATTATTTTTTCTCCTATACATACGAATGTCCTGTCGGCGCAATAAAGTAAAGAAGTGCGTGAACTCGATTATCTCGAAATCGAGGATTACGTTTAATCCTCGATTCTTCAGCAAGAATATCATCATATTGTCTTTCTAGATATCCCATAATTTCTTGAAAACTAATTATTTTATTTTTATGAAATTATTATTTATTATTATTAGATTAAATTAGGTTAAGATAACGAAGGTCCGGATGAGGAGATATATATATATATTTAAATAAAAAAAAAAAGTAATTTACCAAAATTCATTATCTATATTATCACCAAAACCAGGAGTATCCACTATAGTCAATGCGATTCTAACTCCATCTTCATCTAATTCTGTTTTTTCGTTATATTTAAAAAAGAAAGTATTCATTATTCGTTAATATCTAAATTTCATTTTGAAATTTAATAAATTTTAATAAATTTATAAAAAAATTTTTTTTTTTAACTTACCGACAGTCACAGGTTTGATACGAATTCCTTCTTCTATATGTGCGGAATCGGGATTATCACATAGTTTCTTGGATAAAACTTCATTACCGCAGAGAGTATTAACAAAAGTAGTGCGACCAGTACCGGAAGCGCCTAAAAAATAATTTAAATGAATTTAAATAAATCTTACATATTATCATTCATTTAGATTATGATCGTCGAAATTAGTTAATTAAGAGGAAAACTTACCAACTACCATAAGAGTGAATTGAAATCCTTTTTTAACGTTCTTTCTACGTCCGCCTAATCTCTGTCGAAGAGGAAATTTATATTAGTTTAAACTAACAATCCCCTTTACTGTTATTCTTTGAAAAGCATTTAAACCAAGATGACTCACATGAGCCATATTTTGAAACGGAAGTTAAAACCGTCAGGAAAACGAACGATAAGTAGAATAAACTACCAAGGAAGCTGATGAAAGGTTAAAACCGAGAAGAGAAAGGTCTCGAAAGGAGTGAATACGTTCAATGTATGAATGAAGGTATAATAGTATTTAGCACAACCGGTTCGACAAACGGAATATTTTGCGTCGAAAAGCTAATAGCGAGAAATAAAGCTAGTACAGCTGAAAAGTTTCTCATAATGTCACGCATAAAAGATAATTCGTTGTAAAGTAACACTGTCTCGAATCGGTAGTACAAAGTTTGAACAAATCAATTTTTTTATACAAACCCAATATTGTTTGTATATTATTAGTACTACCAGAATTTTATATCATTATTCGAACAATTAAGGAAGTTCTGTACCAATCAAATTTTACTAAAATAACAATAACATGTGACACATATAAATAAACCCCGCGATAATTTTTTTAACTTGTTTTAGTCGCGGGTTTTCCTTGCTATTAACAAGTTATAGAATACACTTAACAGGAAAGTCACGTTGTGAATATATTTTTTTTATTTTATTAATTAATAAATAGCGAAATATAATAAATCAACAAATGAAAAAGCGAAAAACTCCCAATTCCTATTCAGAGTTAAGAAACCTTTGCCTAGATACATAATTTATTTACTTTAAAAGCTTCCTGCTTGATATATCTATGGAGTCTCATTGTCAGTGTGAGTCTTGTAGAGGTATCAGACCAAGAGACAGGAATAAGACTGCTAATACTGTATTTGTACCTATTTGCTATGTTAATGTGTCTATAAGACAAGAACTTTGTGTATAATGCATAGTATTGTCATTATGAGTCCTGTATAGTTATCAGAAAAAAAATGATTATTAATTATTATTACGTTTATTTCATTTTTTTAAAAAACTTACAGAATATCTGGAAAATTTATATTCTTTATGAAATATTATATAAACTATAAAATGTTATCTAACTTTATTGTAATATATGGTGTATAATAAGGGTGATTGTCACAATTACATAATTCCCATTTAATTTTTCCCAATGATGACAACAGAAATTTATTAAGATTTATATAAAGTTTTAAATAATTTTATTAAGATAGGCAATTGATTTATTCCAATTTATAAATAAATAAAAATTCTGATTTTGTCTTTTTCTAAATAGAATGTTTAATTTTCATCATGAATACCCATGTAATATAATATTCTAGAATTAATATTAGAGTTGATTTGATTATTGTACTTCTAATTAATTAATTTTTTGCAAAATTTTGTTATAATTCTTAATTGCCATCCTCTTATATACCCACTCCTGTATCATAACATCATATACATCTTCTATCCTTGCAATATCATCATTTTCTTCCATAGTTGTTTTAGGTAATAAAGTATTCAATTTGACATGTTTGGCAGCTGGAATGATGATTGATGTGTCCTCTGCAATTGTTTCAGAACCTTTCTTTTTTAAGAGCATTCTTTAAACTTTTATCATCTTCTAACCTCAGAATAATTGCCAATGATCTTAGATCTGATAAGATCCCAAAAACAATTATATCTTTTGGACTAATCAAATCAGCAACAATCATTTCCATGATGGTTTGAAATGAGTGATTTGTCTTGACACATTTTTTTAGCTCCATAACTGCATGAATATCCAGTTGAACCCATTTGGCTTGAATACAAAACTTCTCCGTAACCACTACATCAGTTCCACTATGAATACTAAAAGGTAATCTGGGATCATCCTGCAAATTAAATAGTGTTTGGTTATCTCCAGCATCATACCAAACAATCTGATCTTTCAAAGGAATGTATTTGTTTAGTCATGCCATGTATTCATTTTTATGGGCCAGTTCTGATTTTTCTTTCCATTCAAAAGCTGATGGTAAATCATTAGAAATATGGATATCAAAAGAGGTCATCTTAACTTCGATATCAAGATGTCATCGTAAACGTTAGAAATTCTCTGAATTAATTTTGGAGATGGATATTTTGTCAGGGGTTGATTGAGAAACTTTGCTGTATGTATTTCCTTAATCATTTTGACAACATCTGTGAAAGAGGTACTTTTATTAATCAATTAGTAGGAGAATGAAAGGCTATAAAAAGCTGAGTTAGTCAATGTTGCAAATAGTATACCAACATTTCACGTTGTAAATATCAGCAGAACAACATTTATTCAGATGCAGTTTTATTATACGACTTTATAAGATTTGCAAACTTACTGAAGGAAGCAGGTGGTTCGACAATAACGTGAATATACTGTAATGTGGACTTATCAAAGTGATTTCTCACCTTTCAGAACAGTTTTGATGTTGACATTGGGATCAGCTTCAAGGGCATTTCATTTATCATTTGACGAGTCATAAGGAATATTCACTTTCCACAGTTTAAGGCTATCTGGTGCAAAATTCTTAAACTCGTGATCTTTCTCCTTTTTAATAGCTTTCTTGAGGTCATCAACACTATCATTTTTTTTAACCCTAACAGAAAAGGCGTATTCGTAAGTTTTACCATTAGACTAGACAGAAGAGTGCGATCATATTAAGTTGCAAATATGTAATACAAGTATCGTTTTGGAAAAAAATTTATCGAAATACTTGGTTAACAATAAAGCTAAAAATTATTTTAATTTTGTATAATATGAAAAATATGACCAATCGGAGAAAATCATTTACCACTGAAAATTTTAGTTTTAATAAAAAAATACACAATATATTATTATTAATTATGGTAAAAAAATACATTAAATTGTAGAGCTTTAACTAGAACTATTAAATACATCAGGAAATTTTAATAGACGAAAATTTACAGAGATTTTTATTAGTTTTTACGTTTTTTCGACTTTGCTCGTAATTTATGAAGCGTAAAGCGATTTTCTACTAAGATATTTCTAAGATAGAAAGAAAGTCCTAGTTCTTGGCTACAAAATGTTTTTTATTTCATCTCGGTAGCATTGATATTTGTGGAGTTAATTGTAGTTTAAAGAAAAACGTTCGTCAAAAATCATGTGTAAAAATTTGTGCAAATCTTCTGTCCATTAAAATTTCCTGATGATGCTATGTATTATACTCGCAAAACTATTAAACCAAAAAAGAACAATTTGGAATAATTGGCATACAGGTAGCTGGAAATATATTATTACCATATACAATCAGCCAAAATTCCTGTACAAGTATTAGATCCAAAAAATTTAACTAATTTTATAGAGACTTTATTACTTTTATGTAATATATTAATTACAAATATATCTCTGTTATATCAGGGTTCAATCTCTTCATCTCAAAGATTAATGGAGGAAAGTACCATAGTTACTACGCCTAGAGATGATTAGTTTTATATAGACTTTGTAGATTTTTATAGAATTTTATTATTTACCATATCAATAAAGATGGCGATTTCATATATCATGTGACAGACCAGTTTTCTTGTGTAATGTGAATATTGGAATATCATGTGATATGTACTATAGTTCTTTCAAGAAAACATCGAATTGGTCGTTAATAAGAAAGTAAAAGAACATCTGAAGTACAAAAATATAGTCCGTGCTAAAATTTTTTAGAAATTTTGAGGTTAAGTGTATACTACCTTTTAGTACGTTCCAGTACAGATTATAACGTGACCCAAGTAGCTGGCTGATTTCGTATTGGCTAGTGATAGTGGATTTCGCATTCCCTTGGGCGCTCTAACATGTTATTGTAGTTTAGAAAGGAATATTAATGTTTTTTGTTTTTAATAATTAGAATGAAAAGACTTCTTAGAGCGTAAATAAATTCTGGATGTCAATCAACGAAGAACTAATTAATAGTAAAATTAAAAATGAAGAGGTTTGTAAACTACATATGTTAATCTGATATTTATATGTAAACTGCTAAATTTTGATTCTTTATTATGAATAGAACGAATATGAGTTAACTTTGACTACTAATGTGAATAAACAAATGGGAATGTGTCTTGCAAAATGACTTTTAGAGTGTGCAAAAGAAAGTCCTCCAAAACGCGTGGCAAAGGTTAGTACTGTGGATTTGAACCCATTGAGAAGTTATTTGTTTTGGTTCTAGAAAGCAATAAACGATTCTCCCAACCATCGTATGGAAACACTTAAAATTTTTTTATTTTTGCATGATTTTGTATCGGCCGTACACTAACTCTATAATTTTGTGGTTTTCTCTAGTGTTTCTGTCCATTGTATTTTTAAAGCCTTTTAAAATACTTTCAACAGGTTCATTTACTATATTAAGAGATGAGGATTGTTACTATTTAGACAAAGCATAATTCATTCCAAAAATAGAGGAACTTAAATAATATAAATTAAATTTGACCACTGGATCAAATTTTATTTAAGATTTTCCAAGTTCATATCTTAGAGGTTCCGCACTGTGGTACTTTGTGAGGTAGAAGCATACATAGAATATTTGAGAGTTTGTGGAATACATGACAACACCTCTTCCATGCTGAAAACTAGAAATAAAGATGTGTATACTTGGAGATACAACAAAAATGCGGAAACTTTACGATTGTAAAGTTAGACTCTGAATAATGTCACGATCGCCTGAGATTTTTACCTTCCATAACTGGAATTTATTTGCAGGGAAACTATCGAACTCTGGTTCCTTCTCCGTCTTGGTCACATTATGCAAGGATTAGGTGATGATAAGTCACTAAACATTCTCTAATATTCACTAATTAAAGAGTGGCCTCTAGGAGACAGGGTGATTATAAGTCATCAGTTATTTAATTATTTGAAACATTCTTGTATAAATTTCGAGGTTTTATTGAACCATATTCCATTTGTGTACAAATCTTTATTTTTATTGTATTACTGATAAAACAATTTATTTTTTTAATTATTATATTTATTATTTCAAAAGTATCTAAGTAAACTTGGCTATAAACGCTTTAAAGGAAAAAATAAATAAAAAAAAAAGATTATAATTTATATTTTGAATATTCATTTAAAATAAATAATAATTTAATTTTCTCTACCAAAGTAAGAAAATAATATTTTTATATATATTTTTTTTGATACAAGAAAATTCTTCTATTAATAAAGAAAAACGCCAAATGCCATAGCTACACAAATAATAGTTTCCTAAAGTTAATTAACAAAATTGATAAAATTAATGAAATTAATAAAAAATTAATAAAATTAAATTGATAATTAATGAGAGATCTCTTTTAACATACATTTTTAAAAGTATCTTGAGCTAAATTATCGGTATCTGAATCCCAAAAACAATTAACTTGCATTCTATTACAAAAAATTATAAATTAATCAGAAAATTTAATCACAAATTAGAATTTTAATCTCAACTAATTAAATACCTGGACCCCGCTCCTTTATTCTCCAATATAGTAACATTAACAATGTATTTATATCTAGGAAGATCCAAGTCTTTTTATCAAATCGATAATAGTTTAAAATAGATTTAAATATTTCGATGATGAGAATTAAATGATAATGAGAGGATTAAACTATTATTATATTGTTATTACCTAATAATTTAAATTTAATTTCTTCAGCAATTTCACGAGCCCAAAGAGGAGCTTGATCTTTATCATAAATAGCTCTTTCTAATCTTTCATTTAGAATTTGTGTAATCATTTGCTTAGCTATTGGTGGACGAAATCTAATTCAATAATATTTTAAATATTTCAAATATTTTTTAATTAAATTTTCATATATTGTCAAATGCTACAGATCCTGTAATGCAGTATTTACTTTTGTTTAAAACTCGGTCTTAATGCATAACCACCACCTCCTTCACCACCTTCTGAGCTTTTACGTTCATGACGCTCATGACGTTCCTGCTCTAAAACTGATGGTGGTAAAAATGGATACTGTTCAGTATAACTCATGATAAAGCTAATTTTATTATTTAAAAAGATTTAATTATTCTAATATTCTAAAATTTGATTTTATTGGCCGTTAATCCCGCGTGACCGTGTGCAATAGTTAAATATTTAATATAAATAATTTCTATATTTGGAAATGATAACTATAATGGGATTCACAATACATTACGTAATTATACGTTTTTTTTTTTAAATTTAATTTCTCGTAATTAAAAAAAAATGTTACCCACCATGTAAATTTTATTTATACACTAATACAAAGAATTATTATTTTCTAAAGTACATTAAAAATAAGATGAAATAATAACAATAATTATAATAAATAATAATAAATAAATAAATAAATGACGAAAGATCTGAAAATGAAAATTATTATAGAAAATAAAAATTAATTTAATAAAAGTAAAACTACAATAAATTATTATGTACAGTTTAATCCATATAACCTGCATCTGGATTTCTCACAAAATAAATATTATCTGTTATATTTTATGTTTTTTTTATTGTTATTCTTCATTTTTGTTGATTGTTGTTGTTATTCAATGGCCCAATCTCCATATTCATCATATTCTTCTTCTTCTCCTTCACCTAATAAAGCAACATAATTCTCCGGTACCAGTCCGGTTTCATCACCTAAATCTGCTAATAACCAACCATCACATTGTTGGCATTGGATTAAAAGAATATCTCCTTCTTGAAAACTTAATTCTGATTCATTTTCAGCTTGAAAATCATAAAGTGCTCGAGCTTTACGATTAATATATTCTTCTTCTCCACTTTCAGTTGATATTGGATATGGTTGTCCCCAATGTCGTGGATCATCTATGGGAAATCCAAAATCTCGAATTTTAATTTTATCATTCTCCGAATTTATATTATTAATATTATCATCTAATAAACCAAAAAAAAAAAAATTATAATTATATTGTTATAAATAATTTCTATTTTTGGATAAAATAAATGAATAAAAATTTACCTTTCAAAGACTTTAAAGACTTTAAAGACTTTCAATAATAAATAAATTTAGTTATGATAAATAAAATTAAATTATTTTAAAATAAAATTAAATAAAATCAATTTATGTTAAATAAAATAATTCTCACCGAACGAACTTTTTTCTTTTGCGGTTCTCCAATATAAAAGTCATCCGCTCCATTATTATAAAAGTTGAATAATGTTTCTGTAATTTTGTTGTACAAGTCTTTATCAATATTATCAGGATTAAAATTTGTATTTTCAACTATAATATTATTGCTATTACTATTATTATTACTATTGTTTCTATCCACAACCTTCTCTTTTTTCTCTTTTTTAACTTCGCTTTCGGCATTCTCTATGCTGTTGTTGTCCCCATTAGCTATTATTGTCAGAACATTATCTTTTTGACGGTTTTTTTGTATAATATTTCCTTCCAATTCCATAATGTTTAATTTGTTTGGTTTGATATTATCAAATCTTCACTATTATATCATCCTCTAAAAAGTAATCTCTTTCACTGTATTGTTATGTTTGATTTTAAAAATAATAATAATAAATAATTTATGACAAAATATTACTAATTGTTGTTAAGAATTTATAACTCCTTTGATAGTTCCTTGTGAAGAGAATTACTTTGGATCGCAAACCAGGTATAATGATAGTATAAGGACAATGTGATGACTGATGGTGAATTCTCGTTTCGTTTACAAAGAAAAAAAAACAAATAAAATAAAAAAATAACAATTCGAAGTTAAATTAAAAAAATAAAATTCATTGTCATTGTACTACAACGAAATAATTTCTAATTCTTCATGTGATCATTTACAATAGAAATATACAATTAAAGAATTAATCAATGCAAAAAAGAATTAACAACATTAGTTACCCATTGTAATATAGAGTTACCAAAAATAGTTCAAAAATTTATGCAAGGGTTCGATTCAATGGTAACAAATAATATTAGAAATTAAAATTTCATTTGGATTATATAGAATAAAATTCTTGTTTGATTTATTTGCTGCTTTAACTTGCTCATTTACTTGTTTTCTTATTTCATCATAAGAAAGATATTTATCAAGTTGAGTTTTCAATTCTTCGGCAGTTGGATGATTGAAAACTATAATGAGACCTTGTCTTTGGTCTATTTTTTGTTATTAAAATATACAGTCTGGTGCAAAGTCTTTGGACGAATATTTTATGCCGCAGCTCCACAGTCGCTGCGCCAAATCACATGAAAAAACATTCATTTGGTAGACACAGAGTTATATTATTTTATTTTAAAAAAATTTAATAAGGAATACGTTCCCCACTTTTTTCAATAATAAGTTTACAACGTTGTCACGGGTGTTATTGTTAACATCCACTCAACGGTTCTTTTAAGGAGTTTATAGTCCTTCTCTATAGGTACAAGACTTCCAGTTTTGGTTATTCCTTGAATTTTAGAAGGCACCAGTTAGTTTTTAGATAGAACTAACTAACTAATATTCATCCACTTTAATTATAATACATCCATTTCAATATCATAATATTATCTATTTACAATTTCATCATAACATCCTTATTAATTTATCTTTATAATTTTATCATATCATCCTTAAATAATATATCTTCATAACTTCATTTATTATCTTTAGTATTGAATAAATACTTTATCATTAAACTTCCTCAATAATTATTAGGACAGAACAAATATAATTAATTATTTAATTAATTATTTAACTTCCATCTGATATCTTCACTTCCACTTTATTATATTCAATAAGTTATTATTTATCAACTTGAATAATAATATTTATTAATGGGAATTTACATACATACACTTATGTAAATAATTACATTTCATCCTCTGAGAATTACAATTAATTAAAGTTATAAAAATATAAAATTAAATAATGTAAAACTATTGAAACTATTTGAGATAAAGGGTATATTTATACTATTTTAACTACTGTGCCACAAAATACTATTTGCTAATAACTATAAATGATATAATATTAATAATATTAATATAATAACTATTACTAAAATATAAATAATTAATAATAATAAATGTTAAGTAATACTAATTGATATTATTTGTTTTACATGTAATTAAACTAATATATTTAAATATTAATAATAAGTTAAATAATTGTTCATTCTCTATTATAATGTATTGATACTACTAATATATTGAAGTTTTTGATTTATAATTATAATGTTACATTTTATACCATAACAATGTTCATTCATTGAATTAATTAAATTTTTTATAATGCCTTGAGGAATTTTTATCCATTTCTCTTTTATAAAATTTTTCAAATCCATAATATTTTGTGGTTTTCACATTTCTACATTTCTTTTAAAGATGGCCTATAGATTTTCAATGGGACTTAAGCCTGGACTATTGGAAGGTCAATTCATAACAGCTAGAACATTTTCTTGCAGAAATTTCTTAATTACACAACTTGTGTGCTTTGAATTGTTGTCTTGCTGAAGACACCAATTGTTGCACAACATTCTTTTGATCTCAGGTAAATATGTTCTTATTATTTCAATGTAAAATTAAACATTCAAAATATCACAAAAACAAAAAAGACTAGTTTTATTCTGACTACAAAATCCACTCTATATATTAATTCTTATCTGGTCTTTTAAAATATGATAAACTGGTCACTGACCTTGATATCAATACTAAACTGTATTGCTAAACAACAAAAAAGATATTTTGTTTGAAAAAACTGAACAATTCAATCATTATTCATATACTTCTGTACTATTTTTCTTTATATTACTTTGTTAGTATTAATGTGACAATAGGATTTTTTTTTATTATAACTATACTTGCATGCAAAATTATTTTGGAGCCCCGAAATTACAATTTTGGGAAAAAAAGTTGAAATAGTTTTTCATAGAAGACGAAATTATTTTACTTAAAACCCAAAATTTTTTGATCACCCAGATTTATTCTTTGATTAAAGATACATATAACTGGGTACTTTTTTTACTTCCATATATAGAATAGATTTTGTATAAATCTCAAAAAGTCGAAATACCTCAAAAATCCAAAATCAATTTTGGGAACATGTATAATTATAACCATGGTTTTTCAAATATTACAATATTGTACAATAGGATATATCAGTACCTTTTTTTAATAATATGGATGATATCTTTCAAGAAGAAATAGTCAGATTTTTTCTAATGTACTATTCAATTTCTTTGGATTATTAGAATCAATTTTTTTAAGTCAACTAGAACATTATACTCCCATTTTTTTTTGATTTTTTTATATTATAATATACTGTTGATTTCAAAATATTTGTTCTGTGTTAAATTTTGACAGCATTTTTAATTTCATTATGTTATAAATATTATATAGTTTGTGCTTCGGTATTTTTGATGTTTGGCCTCATTTCCTCTGTTAAAGGATCAGTTGATAGGTCAGACAATATACTTTAATATAATGTAAAAGCATAATCTGTAATAGTTAAAATTAGTGACTTGTGTCACTTTTAATTTTAATGATTTTTGTTCAAAGACTTTTACACCAAACTGTAAGTTACATAAAACCTATTTAAAGAATAAGATAGTCTATTAATAGGAATTTGACTGTCTTTTTTATAAATGGAATATCTAATTCAGTATCATAAATAAAAATTCCAATTTTTGTTAATCAAACTAGTACTATTGCATAAGTAGTGTTATTACCTGACTTTTTTATCAAAGTTATACAATTATTTTCAAGTTCAAGATTACAAGATAACTTATAGTTAAGTATTATTTATCTATTATCTTTAGAACTTTATCAAAATTTTTCATATGTAAGTTTATTTAATAAATAGAAGTTTATTAAATAATTAAGACTTCTCTATTTTTGTAGTTTATGATATCAATTCCTTAATATAGGATTTATTATCTTTAAGATAATAAATTTAATAGTTTATCATTAATTCTATTAACTCTAGAAATACAATTATATAATCAAATATTAACCTTATAATATTTATTATGCTTTTGTTAATTATTCTATTTTTAAAGTTATATATAATAAATATTTAAATTGTAAAATAATAAAATCACAAAGTTATAAATTCAAGATTTAAGGTTATAACTTAATTCTCTTTATAACACAAGTTAAATACAAAAAATAAAATGCAATAGGACAGTTAATTTTTATCAATTTTTAGTTAATCTATAATATAGAAATTATCATTTAATACAGTGATTCTTTTGTATTTAACTAGTGTAGATTAGTTAAAAATTAGAATTTCTATATCATAGACTAGCTAAAATTGACCATCCTATATTAGAAAATTTTTTTTAGTAAAAATCTTTGAAAGTTAACATTAACATAAATATTTCACTATTTTTTGATATGTTATCTTTTGAAGGTTTTTGCTAATCTTCGAAAGTTATCGATTTTAATATTTTTACGTGGTGAAATTTTGTAAATATTATCATTTTTGTAATAAATTCATATAGATAACCTTTGAAGATTATCGATTTTGATATTTTCGTGTGTGAAATTTTATGAATATTATCGTTTTTGTAATAAATTTATATTAATAACTTTTGAAGGTTATCAATTTTGATATCTTCATGTATGAAATTTTACAAATATTATTATTTTCATAATAATTTCATATCAATAACCTTCGTTTATACTAGATATTCATAATATATTATTTTGATGGTCATTACTTGCATTTATATTACTGCAATTTTCAATTGACATTGTATTGTCAATAATATCTTTCGAAATTTATCACAGTAATTTTAATTGACATTGTATTGTTAGCAATGTCTTTCAAAATTTATCACAATAATTTTAATTGACATTATACTGTCAATGATATCTTTCGAAGTTTATCGTAATAATTTTAATAGACATTATACTGTTAACGATATCCTTTGAAGTTTATCGTAGTGAAATTACATTGTTAACAATATCTTTTGAAATTTATCATAACAATTAAGATTAGTATTTATGTTCACTGAATATAATTATATTATTGTTATAATTTTATTAGATATTATATTGATCCAAAGTTTATTAGTATTAATATGTTCCTGAAATTATTAATGATTTAATATATTATAGTTAAAGATTTTTAGAATAACTAGACAATTAACAAATATCTTTTAAAGTTTATATCATTGTATTTTGATTGATATCGATATCCTTTGAAGTTTATCATATTGTTGATTATCATTTCAAATTTTCTTCAAAAGTTAATATTTTTTTTGTTTGTACAACAAGATCAGTTATCTCATATAACTTATTATTTAACTATATATTCTTTTGTTTATTTTCAGAATAACTACTTTTACTCTCTAAACAATCCATACGAAACTCTTTAAAAAGAAATAAATTTATATCTTTGTATTTTGTTATTGTTATATCAAAATATATCAAATAAAAAGTAATAATTTAAAATATATTTAATAAATTTATTGGCTT